AGTATGATTCAGTGAGATAAGTTTAGAAAGACAAAACTAGAGGTGTTGAAGAATCCAGAAGATTAAGTTTTGAGAGAACACAAAGAATAAATGCACCGGCGCCATTGCGAACGATTTTGAGACATGTCATTCAAGGTCTCTAACCATCGATTATTATCATCTCGCGGACCCCAACCAGGTAGTCGACAATTACCGACATGGCTAAGTCCACTAGTCAATGACTTCATGGATTTCTGCCATGTTTTGGTTTTGCCGCCCCTAGCTTTCTTCCAACCTATTCTTTTACTACAAAACAAAGCTCTTCGAGGCAATCGGTGTTTAGGCATACGTGACACATGTACCAACCACCTCAACTGATGAAGTTTCACTACTTCATCTATTGATCTGTCATTTTTCACCTAGCACCCGTTTCCTAATAACAGCGTTGCTCACTCGGGTGTCCCACGATATACGAGCAATTCTTCGAAGACACCGATGATCGAAGACTAGTAACCTACGAATATCTTCTACTCTCACTGGCCATGTTTCATATCAATAGTCTACAAATTGTACATTCTTATGCGAAACCGGATATTCTTAGTTCGCTTCCCACTAGCATGAAATTATTGTCCAATTTTTCCAAGTCTTCTACATTGATCTATTTCAGATCATCTGCATTGTGATTTAAACTGAAAAATGAAAATTAATTTTACTATTGAACACCTGCTTCATCATTTTGATGGGATTAAAATTTCTCAATTCATACAAAGAGTTACATCGCATCAAATGAACATGTATGATATGAATAAACAAATCATTTACAATAAGGTCAATTTTATTAAATAAAAGAAAATAGTAAATAAATTTACAATAAAGGTCATTTTATTGTACTTTTTTTTTCTATTACAATTTAACAATCATAATAATAATCTGCATTATGGGGTTGTTGTGAAGATTGTTGTTAAGTTACACATTTGTTTTTTGAAACCATGAATCGATCAATGTTAGATGAACACCATTAGAAGAAACCTGGAAGCACTGAAAGACGGCCTTTTCGTCCTGGTATGGGACTCATCAGAGGCAGAGCGCATCCACGACTCCTGTACCCTGCAGGATTCGAACCCTTCGGTATTGTGCGCGAACGCCTAACCTCTGGACCATTGAGCCGTTATCTAACGGTGTTAATGTCTAACTTGATCAAATTCACGGAGTTGCGCAACTTCATACGCAGTCTTCGTTAGTAGTTACTGTCTACACCCGAATAGGATGAACTTCACTGGTCACGTCTTCCCACCACTAGAACTCGGAGATTCTCCTCACGAAGTTAGCTAGTCACTAGTGAGCACAGGTAATTTGCATTACAAGGTTGTTGTGAAGATTGTTGTTAAGTTACACATCTGTTTTTTGAAACCATGAATCAATCAATGTTAGATGAATACCATTAGAAGAAACCTGGAAGCACTGGATGGCCGTTTCGTCCTGGTATGAGACTCATCAGTAGTAGTACGCATCCACGACTCCTGCACCCCGCAGGATTCGAACCCGGGACCTTTAGTATAGTGCGCGAACGCCTAACCATCTGACCACTGAGCCGTTATCTAACGGTGTTAATGTCTAACTTGATCAAATTCACGGAGTTGCGCAACTTCATACACAGTCTTCGTTAGTAGTTACTGTCTACACCCGAATAGGATGAACTTCACTGGTCACCTCATCACACTAGAACTCGGAGAAGATTCCTCACGAAGCTAGCTAATCACTAGTGAACACAGGTATAATTTGCATTACGGGGTTGTGAAGATTGTTAAGTTACACATCTGTTTTTTGAAACCATGAATCAATCAATGTTAGGTGAACACCATTACAAAAAACCTGGAGGCACTTGACGGCCGTTTCGTCCTGGTATGGGACTCCTCAAAAATGTATAATAATAAATCAACTAGGAGAAATAATTTAGGAGGCCAAACATTGATTAATTGATTGCCTTTTATCAGTTTTTACACATGTAATAATATTTTCATTATTATTGTTATTATTATTATTATTATAGTGATGATCATGTTGACTGAAAACTAGATTTGCTTTCCTATTTTGTTTGTTTATATATAAATCCTGTCTTATTGATCATTGAACAATATTGAACGCATGAATGATTAAACTCATACACAGGATACGGTCGACATGTGTTTCATGCGTTTTTTTTGTTAAACAAAATGGGGAATATGATTTTAGTTATGAGAGTAGATGTAAACTTTCTCCAATATACACACATTTACATATACATTTATAGATCAATACTACTTATAAGCAGTGTGAATATCTTTTCATGAAATTTCAATACGGTGTATACGTTAATCATTGATCTAAATGAAGTATATAATCTCTGTTGGTTACTTTTTGACAGAATGAAAGCATCAGATTTACACATATGTTGGATGCGTTTGATTCGACGTTGAAGTTTCATCACTTTGTTATGGTATTAGATTTGATGTTGTAGGGCTCACTGCTTTGGTGGCTTGCAACCTGGCTTCAATATTTATGAAATAAATCTCCCTATCAGTTTGCGTATATTGTACTTAGGTGAGCCCCAATTTGTGCAATAGTAAATTTGGTTCAAGCTGACATGATAGTGAAAAGCATGTTATATATACTACTATATATAAAAGATATATCGGAAATTACAACACGACTATTGAAACCATTTGCAATAGGTGTAGCACATCTATAAGACTAACTGCTCAGACTGTGAAAAACACTATATAAGACAAAGTGAACGTCCTTTTTGAGACAGAGTTTTGGAGGTTTGTGTTTTTACACATTTGAAATCATCGATCAATCATTGTTACACCACCACATTAGAAACCTGGAAGCACTGAAAGACGGCCGTTTCGCCCTGGTATGCGACTCATCAGCAGTGCACATCCACGACTCCTGGGACCTCGCAGGATTCGAACCCGGGATCGACCTTCGGTATTTTAGGTGAACGCCTAACCATCGGACCACTGGTCCGGAGTCCAACGGTGTTAATGTCTAACTCTGATTGATCTAGGGATTTTGCGCGACTTCACCCATTCGTCTTTGGTAGTCACTGCCTATACCCGACAGGGTTGAACTCCATTAGTGATGTCTTTTCACTAGAACTCCGAGAATTTCCTCACGAAGCTAGTCACTCGTGAGGACTGTTACGATATTTTTGGGAAGAGTTTTGGAGGTTTCTGTTTTTACACATTTGAAACCAAAAGTGGATGTCCTTTTCAGTTTCGTTTGCATGAACATCAATTAGCAGTCAAACATCATGACATTTCTTCCCTCATATCAATAAATACGAACAACTATGGACATTCGTTTGATTGGAACAATTTTGAAATAGTAGATAGGAAGAGCCCGAAAAGAACACTAAGGAACTTTTAGAAACTTGTCACTCAGTTCAATCTGAAATCAATAAACACATCGACATTGACCCAATTTAACAATCAATGAGAAAAATTATAGGCAAAACATGATGTCAAGAATCAAATGAACGGGGGATACAATCAAAATTAGGTTATAGGCAACCAATCAAGATTGAGGTTAACAGAACAAAGGCTACGAAGTAATATATACATTGGAGAAATTCGAATATTTCACTTCTCCTCTCTGAAGTTTTTTGTTGATGATGTTGCTGAGAGAAAGAATCAATGCTTCAGAACAAAACATTCAGCTTAGAGAATGAAACTCCACTACAATCATCTAACTGAGTTACAAATTTTCCCCATATAAAAATTTTTTCTTACAAATTGTGAATTGGTAATTGATTGTTTGTTAGCTACTGATTGAATTGTTAAACAAGATTTACACCCTCATTCATCTACTTCTGTTTCGTTGTTAAACTTGCGCTGAAACTTTGAACTCATCATGTAAACCTCTTTGTATATTTCACAAATGAATGAGACATGATTGTGATGTGTTATAAAAGTTGTTTTTCTCTGTTTGTTTATCCAGATTAAATAGTTTGATTTCTTTTCTCCTTCTCCTTCTCCTCCTGCATCGGCACCTGAACTAGTGATAGGGAGTGAAGTAGTCGAGCGTGTTGATCGCTTCACTTATCTGGGGAGTCTCATCAGTGCTAATGATGGCCTGGTGTGCTTGACGAAATCTCAACTCGGATACAGAAAGCTCAATTGGCTTTTGCCAACCTGCGTCACTTATGGCGTAGACGAGATATCCGTTTGCTGACTAAAGGACGGGTGTACTGCGCAGCAGTTCGCGCCGTTCTCCTATATGGCTGTGAAACATGGCCGTTAAGAGTAGAAGATGTTCGTAGGTTACTAGTATTCGATCATAGATGTTCAAGAAGCATTGCTCGTGTATCCTGAGACGACTGAGTAAGCAATGCTGTCGTTAGGAAACGAGTACTAGGTAAGGATGGCAGATCAATAGATGAAGTAGTGAAACTTCATCAGTTGAGGTGGTTGGGACATGTGTTACGTATGCCTAACCACTGACTGCCTCGACAAGCTATGTTTTGTGGTGTAGGAGTAGGTTGGAAGAAAGCTAGAGGCGACCAGACCAAAACATGGCAGAAATCCATGAAGTCATTAACAAGTCGACTGAGTCATGTTGGTAGATGTAGACTACCTGGTTGGGTTCCGCGAGACGAAATTCACCAATTGTTAGAGACTTTGAACGACATGACTCAAAATCGTTTGCAATGGCGCAAGTGCATCCATTCTTTGTGCTCTCTCAAATCCTAATCTTCTGGAATCGTCAGCGCCTCTACCTTTGTCTTTCTAACCTTATCGGACTGAATTATACTTCTTGAATAATATCTTCGAACCCTAGTCTTCTTCATTACCATTAATACCTCTACTATGTTTATCACTATGGAATTCGATTTGACATTTGCGTCTCTGTGCTAATAATGTGATATGGCAACCTGAACTTATGTACATACGTACGAAGTTCTACGTTGCAACTGACTGACCTTCTCCTCCTCATTTTTTTTCTGTTCAACTGATATTCTTTTTTTTGTTTTATTTTAGATTTCAATATATTGAACTAATGGTCTATTTAGCAATATCAATTTGTCCAGCTTATAGTTTCATTTATATGGTAAGTAATTTTTTTCAATGAAACTTCATCAGTTGAGGTGGTTGGGATATGTGTTGCGTATGCCTAACCACCGACTGCCTCGACGAGCTATGTTTTGCAGTGTAGGAATAGGTTGGAAGAAAGTTAGGGGCGGCCAGACCAAAACATGGCACAAATCCATGAAGTCATTGACTAGTGGACTGAGTGATGTCGGTAGTTGTCGTTCAAGGTCTCTAATCATTGGTGACTATCGTCTCGCGGACTCCAACCAGGTAGCCTACATCTACCAACATGACTTCTTCATGGAATACTTGTGGTATCTTTTTTGTCTTTAGAAAATGTAAGAGGTGAATTACAGTGCATAAGAATTGAAGAACCACTATTCGATTTTCGATAGAGGGGTTATTTGATGCTCACTACTTGACACAGAGAGAAAGACAGTCATTCCTACACCAGAATAAAACTCTTAAATACGTACTTTCGCCTGTTACCCCCCCCCCAGCATTCTTCAGTCCACTCAGTCATTGGCCTTCCTTTCTTTTCATGTCCGTCTCCATTACTTAGCGTAATTTGTTCCTTGGCCTACCTTTTTTTTTCTTTTGGCCTTGAGGATTCAAATTGAGGGCTTGTCTTATGATGTAGTTGTGTGCTTTTCCCAATTTGTGTCCTATCTATATTACAGAGCTTCTTCTTAATTTCTCCCTCTGCTAGAATCTGGTTTTGAGGTGATGGAGAAGATTTTTAGCTGAGGTGGATGATTGTGGTGGTGGTGTTTGGTTCTCTGAGTTGGATGTTTTTGTTGTGGAGCTTTCATTGTTCTTCTTCTGAACAACATCATCAGCACAAACTTCAGATAGAAGAAGTGAAGCATTCGAATTTCTCCACGTTTGACCTGTAGCTTGTTCTGCTAACCTCGATCTTGATTGGTTGCTGTTGACCTTAAACCTGTCGTTGTTTGCACATTTGTTTTGATTGTATCCCCCTTTTGTTCTGTTTCTCGATTCGATGTCACCTATGATTTTCCTGATTGGTTGATAAATTTGGTCAATGTCGATGAGTTTTTTGATTGCTGATTCACCTGAGTGCCAAGCTTCTAAAAATCCTCTAGTGTTCTTTGTCCTCTCCCTACCCAGTATTTTTACATTGTTCCAATCAAATGTGTGTCCATAATTGTCGGTGTGTATTGATATAAGCGAAGCGTTGTCGTGGCGTTTGACTGCTAATTGATGTTCACGCAAACGAAGCTGAAGAGGCCGTCCACTTTGTCCTATGTAGTGTTTTTCACAGTTTGAGCAATTTATTTTGTCCTTTGGTCTACATAAGATTGATTGAAGTGATTCTGTTGGTTTGTGTGCCACACCTATTCCAAATGGTTTCAGTGGTCGTGCCGTATGCTCCGATATGTCTTTGATGTATGGCAGGATGATGCGTTTATTTGTTCCTGTGCTTGATTTCACTTCTGATGATGGTTTCGGTTGATGTTTTTTGATGAAGTTGCGTGGATGAGCCGTTCTTTTGGAAGATAGTCATCAGGTGTTTTTCCTCGTTTTTTAATGCTTAGTTTGTGTTGCAGTGTGTCTTCGCTCTCTTGAACAAAGTTTGTATGCAGTTAATCTTGTGGGTTCTTGGGTTGTTGCTGTCGTAGTTGAGAATTACGTCGGTGTGGGTTGGCTTCCGAAATACTTGAGTTTTTAGTTTTCCTGTGTTAGTTCTGGTGATTAGTATATCCAGGAATGCTAGGCTGTTGTTTGATTCCTTTTCCATCGTGAAGTCAATTTCATCGAAGACGTTGTTGATTCGTTTGTAGATGTTTTCCAGCTCATTCCTTTTGATAATAACGAATGTGTCATCTACATACCGAACCCACATTTTTGCTTGATCACTGGTAAGTAAAATCGACGCTTCTAGTCTTTCTGGATTATCGTCTCCAAGATGAGTCCTGATATTGGTGATCCCATTGGTTTGTCCACACCCACAGTAGATTGTTAATGATAGGATTCGGTCAACCGATCTGAAGTATCATGAGACATTATGACCATTCTCTAACTTCCAGGGTTCAGGATTCTCGAGTATT